CTGAGCTTCCACAGCTGCTGTGTGCCTTGAAACAGCATTGCCAGGACTGGCAGCAACAGCAGATGCGTCCGATGCTTAAGATTTTATTTCCTTGCCAATTGTGCTGTTTTAAGCATGCCTTTTATATTTGACTCCCTTTAGCAATGTTTTAGGGACGCGGGTGGCGCTGTGGGTAAAAGCCTCAGCGCCTAGGGCTTGCCGATCGAAAGGTCGGCAGTTTGAATCCCCGCGGCGGGGTGCGCTCCCGTTGCTCGGTCCCAGCGCCTGCCAACCTAGCAGTTCGAAAGTACCCCCAGGTGCAAGTAGATAAATAGGGACCGCTTACTAGCGGGAAGGTAAACAGCGTTTCCGTGTGCGGCTCTGGCTCGCCAGAGCAGCGATGTCACACTGGCCATGTGACCCGGAAGTGTCTCCGGACAGCGCTGGCCCCCGGCCTATAGAGTGAGATGGGCGCACAACCCTAGAGTCTGTCAAGACTGGCCCGTACGGGCAGGGGTACCTTTACCTTTACCTTAGCAATGTTTTATTTTGAAACCTTTAAGTTTGGGGTTAGTTATGTTGCTTTGAATGTATACTTTATAGTGGACTTTCTTCAGTAAAGTTTTATTTGATATTTTAATGTGTTGTAAACAGCTTTGATATTTTTTTCTTAAAAATATGAAGTGGCATAGAAAGGAGATTATTATTAATAATAATATTTAATAATGTTGCTTCTCTTCTGTGCCTCGAGAACATGTTCTGCTTGGCTACTGATAATCCAAGTGTTTTCCTCATGGCTCTGGGTGGTCATAGGCAACCATTTGAACATATATTTTATTACATCTGCTCCAATGTGTGGCAAATACATCGGTACCTCGGTTTTTTAACATCTCGGAAGTTGAACGTTTTGGTTTTCGAATGCCGAAAACCTGGAAGTAAATGTTTCCATTTTTGAATGTACCCCGGAAGATGAATGGCTTCCACTGAATTTCCCTCCCCTTTTTTATCCATTAAATTTGCAGACTGCCCTTTGCGCCTTGGTTTTTGAATGTTTCAGAACTCGAACGGTCTTCCAGAATGGATTACACTTGAAAACCGAGGTCCCACTGTTCTTCTTATCACTTGGTGCAAAAACAAAGAATAACAAACCAAGCCATAAAATAAAAAATAAAATCTCAATCATCTGCATAGCAAATATCTTCATCTGCACTTGCCTCACAGCTTGATAAAGCTAACTTGGTTCATCTACACAACAGGACACCTGCAAACTAATTGGGCCATTGTACACACCTTATGTGGAAGTGAACAAGCACAGCAATTTCCTTGCTCATAGCAGGTTTTATCTTTTATGACATTACCATACCATTCACATTTCTCTTTCCTCCCTAGCCGGCATAAACAAATGTTGATGTTGTCTGCCACAACTGATGCATTAGCATGAACAATCATCATCGTTACCATCATTGTCATTCAGAGTGATGACAAACCATCAAGGTGCGTGTAGGCATCTCTCTCACATGCATATAATCAAAAAGCTTGTGTGAGGCCAGCAATTCAATTCACTCTGATAGTCTCCCAAGGAGCTCTTACAGCTACATTTAAAGCTAACCAACCTTGGCCAGACAGCCCCTTGCTACTAAAACAGATAGAAAGAAGTAATGAGCCAATCAGGTACATTGCATAAATGCCCTTGGGAGGTTTGTGGGCTTCTAATTGTTCTCTATGAAGGGCCACCCTCATCACCCCTTTCACCATCAGGAAAGCAAGAAAACCTGAGAGCAGGCAGGATTAAATTCCAGAACTGCTTTCTTCAGGAAGACCAGGAACGTCACTTCCCTCCCTGTTGCTACTCACTACTATGCAGCAAGCAGAAATACTGATTTGGTTAGTCTAGCTCTCTTTTGTCTGCTGGCAGCTACTCTCTAAGGCAGGGGTCAGCAAACTAAGGCCAAGGGGCCAGATGCCGCCCCCCAGGCTCGTAAATCTGGCCCGCAGACCCTGCCGCCCACTCCGTCCCCGCAAGCTGCGGACGGCTCACCACATGGGGACTGATTTCCACAACGCTGGCACGGCTTCTGGGCAGGTGGTGTCGCTGGCACAGCTTCGGATTGGCTGCAGGAAGTTCCTGGGGCCAATCTGAAGCCTCATCACCCACAGCTGAGGTAAACCCAGTGCGGCCATGGATGGAGAGGCTGGCGGGCTGGAGAGCGATGGGTCTGGGCCATGCTGTGGGCATTGTGACGGGTGCATCGTGGGGCTTCAGCTGGAGTTTAGCACGCCTGATAGCCCCGCGCCTGGCACCCTGCTCGGCACTGCTGCTGGTGGCACGCTCAGTGGCCGTGCTGGAGCAGCTGGAGGGCGAGCTATGTGTACATGGCTTGCCCGCCAACCTGGCCTCAGACGATGGCCCACAGCGCCTGGTGAAAGTCACCTGGGAGCTCCGCAGGGACGGGCCGATGGAGCGGCTGCTGCTTGTCAACAATGCTGGTGAGCGGACGGTGCCGAGACACACTCTTGAGTGTGTGCAGAGTGCATTCCTCCTTCAGGTCTGGAGGCAGCTGCGGGACTGGCTACAGGGTACTTATATTTATAAAAACATAGTCCAGCCCCCCACAAGGTGTGAGGGACAGTGGACCGGCCCCCTGATGACAAAGTTTGCTGACCCCTGCTCTAAGGTGTGACTGCTTCCCCCCTGTTCTGCTACCTACAGCCCTTTGAAGTAGAGATGCCAGGAATCAAGGGGCATTAAGCAGAGGGAAGAAGGAGAGAGCATGATATTTTCCCCCACATCAGCATGGAGATGCAGTGGTGACAACAGCTTCTCATGTTCTGCCTGCTCTGTAGTTGCAACAAAACATGGGATCCTTGCCAGTAAAGGAATATAATCAATAAACACACAAAACATAACCGACTGTACTTTTCAATAAATAAGGTATTCATTGCATCAATGGGACGCGGGTGGCGCTGTGGGTAAAACCTCAGCGCCTAGGACTTGCTGATTGCATGGTTGGTGGTTCGAATCCCCGCGGCGGGGTGCACTCCCGTCGTTCAGTCCCAGCGCCTGCCAACCTAGCAGTTCGAAAGCACCCCCGGGTGCAAGTAGATAAATAGGGACCGCTTACTAGCGGGAAGGTAAACGGCGTTCCGTGTGCTGCGCTGGCTCGCCAGATGCAGCTTGTCACGCTGGCCACGTGACCCGGAAGTGTCTGCGGACAGCGCTGGCTCCCGGCCTATAGAGTGAGATGAGCGCACAACCCTAGAGTCTGGCAAGACTGGCCCATACAGGCAGGGGTACCTTTACCTTTTATTCATTGCATCAATTTGTAGATTTCAACTGAAGTCTGATAAAGTTCAATGAAAAAAGCAGAAGACCCAGTGGATCAGTTCATTCTCTAGTCAGTTCATGGATAAGGTCCATACATGTATAATGTATAATGCAAATAAATACAATATCATAATCTCACACATTTTTACAGCAAAATTAATGTAAAAAACCATAAACAACTGCACATACCATATGTAATATTACAGGACATAATCCTGCTTTGTAACAGTCGCTGCTTACTGCAACCACTACTATGTTATAAGATCCACTATCCTGTAATATTACATCTGGTATGTGCATTAGGTAAAAGGTAAAAGGTAAAGGTACCCTAACGGGACGCGGGTGGCGCTGTGGGTAAAAAGCCTCAGCGCCTAGGGCTTGCCGATCGAAAGGTCGGTGGTTCGAATCCCCGCGGCGGGGTGCGCTCCCGTCGTTCGGTCCCAGCGCCTGCCAACCTAGCAGTTCGAAAGCACCCCCGGGTGCAAGTAGATAAATAGGGACCGCTTACAAGCGGGAAGGTAAACGGCGTTTCCGTGTGCTGCGCTGGCTCGCCAGATGCAGCTTTGTCACGCTGGCCACGTGACCCGGAAGTGTCTCCGGACAGCGCTGGCCCCTGGCCTCTTAAGTGAGATAGGCTGGCCACGTGACCCGGAAGTGTCTGCGGACAGCGCTGGCTCCCCGCCTATAGAGTGAGATGAGCGCACAACCCTAGAGTCTGTCAAGACTGGCCCGTATGGGCAGGGGTACCTTTACCTTTACCTTAAAGGTACCCCTGCCCGTACAGGCCAGTCTTGCCAGACTCTAGGGTTGTGCGCTCATCTCACTCTATAGGCGGGGAGCCAGCGCTGTCCGCAGACACTTCCGGGTCACGTGGCCAGCGTGACGAAGCTGCTCTGGCGAGCCGGCACCAGAGCAGCACACGGAAACACCGTTTACCTTCCCGCTAGAAAGCAGTCCCTATTTATCTACTTGCACCCGGGGGTGCTTTCAAACTGCTAGGTTGGCAGGCGCTGGGACCGAGCAATGGGAGCGCACCCCGCTGCGGGGATTCGAACCGCCGACCATGCGATCGGCAAGTCCTAGGCGCTGAGGTTTTACCCACAGCGCACCCGCGTATGTGCATTACCTAGAGCCTATTCTACTGATGAAGCCTAGGATGGCGAAACAAGGCTAATATTCCGGAAATCCTTGTCTGACACTCTGTGAAAGGATTTTGTGGAACTGTAACAACTCTTCATGTGGATTATTGGACTCTTTGAATAGACAGTTGGAATAGATACTTATACATGTATGGACCTTATGCATGAACTGACTAGAGAATGAACTGGTCCACTGGGTCTTCTGCTTTTTTCGTTGAACTTTATGAGACGTCTGTTGAAATCTACAAATTGATACAATGAATAGCGTACCTTATTTATTCAAAAGTACAGCCGGTTACGTCTTGTGTGTTTATGGAGTATGTTCCACGTAACCATAGGTTTGTTGTTGTTGTTTTAGTAAAGGAATATAAGGCAATCCTAAAGGAGCCAACAAGCTTCTAAGAAGATGATGGGTAATATGTAGTGCCTTCCAAATGACCCTGATGTCACAAACAGCGCAAAGGAACTAATGCACACCATTGCAAGCACATTGCTCTAGATATCCCCAAAAAAGCAAGCAAAACCACCTGCTAAATGACAGGAGAAAGCCCACAGATTCAAGCGCACAGTAACACAAATCCCCATTTATTCTCCTTACCCATATCAGACATCTCTGGCACAGTAACGATGTAAGGTCCATCTGTAAATTTTGGTGCGTTGTCATTGATGTCTTGTACTTTAATGATAAACTCCGATTCAGGTTCAAGTGGCTTGTTTGTCCGTCTGTCGATGGCTTGCGCATGCAGCACATAGTGGGTCTTCTTTTCTCGGTCTAGGCTTTTGGTTGAATGGATGTCTCCCGTCGTGTCGTCAATAATAAAGATAGTCCCAGCCCCTTCACCTGTAAGGATGTATTTGACTGATCCATCACCTTTGTCAGAATTGGAATGCAGCTGAAAATGAAAAGAAAAGGAAAGGAAAATATGCAATACATGTAATATAATACTACATTATTGTACAGGCTTGTTTGGTCGGTGAGGGAAAGCAATTGTGTCATCAGCACTGCTCAAGGGTAGGAACTGTCCAATTTTTGCTAGGATGGGCCTCCTGAACTGAAAGCAACCCCCATTAATTTGTCAGACCATCGGAAACACAACAAAGGCAAGTTCCCTGGCAGGGCTAAGTTTTGTCCTTAGGTTAGGCTAAAAAAAGGAGGTAAGCAAAGTAGCTAGATCACATAGCCTGTATAGACATACATACATCTTTCAAACATACAGTACATCTTTCAAGAGATGTATGAAAGAGATGAGCTCTTTAGAAATAGGGAATTATCCCAATGACTCCAAGCACAGATGAGCATTATTTGCGTGAGCTTACAAGTCCCTTCCCTACCAACGGACACTGCATATTGTATTGAAACTGTATGAGTGATGGATAAGCACAGTGGCTTTGAGCTCAGCTCAGCTGAGATACAAACTGGGAAGGGCCAGAGAACAGCACGTACATGTCTCTCCACACCTCTCTAAGGATACAATGTTCAGACATGGAGTTGTGTAGAAAAGGAGGTGCTTGGCAATATAAGATCACAGAAACAGGGGCGTTGAAGTGGAAGATCCTGGAAAACGACACAGTTGGCAGGATAATATCTTGAAGAGCAGAATGCCACACCAAAACCTTCCATTGTGGGTCCCACTTGTTGGTCACTAACAGTGATATAGTTCAGTACAGTGGTACCTCTGGTTACGTACTTAATTCGTTCCGGAGGTCTGTTCTTAACCTGAAACTGTTCTTAACCTGAAGCACCACTTTAGCTAATGGGGCCTCCTGTTGCCACCGCGCCATCAGGAGCAAGATTTCTGTTCTTATCCTGAAGCAAAGTTCTTAACCTGAAGCACTATTTCTGGGTTAGCAGAGTGTGTAACCTGAAGCGTATGTAACCCGAGGTACCACTGTAATACTAATGAGAAATTGTCAGAAGCAGATGTCTCTGTTTAAAGTCAACTCTTTCTATGACCCTAAGTGCTAAAATGACCCATGGATTTATTCTAGACCAATGTTTCCCAAACTTTGGTCTCCAGCTGTTTTTGAATAACAATTCCCACCATGCCTGACCACTGGTCCTGCTCTAGGGATGATGGGAGTTGTAGTTCAAAAACAGCTGGAGACCCAAGTTTAGGAAACACTGATATAGATTATGAAGCTTTGTTGTTGTCCTTACAAAAATTCTGTCCATGTAATAGGAGATCCCACACTTTGACATTACTTCTATCTTCTGGATTTTAAATGTTATGCCCCTCATTTTCCATGTGCATAGTCTTTTCCAGCTGCCACAAAATTATGTGGGGAGGGATGAGTGGTGCACCCTGGTTGGCCCTTTCAACATGTGGACCTCATTCATATGTGATATTAGACACTTTCTGACACATGGGGATAGGCTAAAAAGGCACAAGAAGAAGTAGGCAAAAGAAAGACTTTAGTACATTTAAGATAAATCCTGATAGTCTGCTTAACATCCATTTTGTGCCATTTTCCTGCCAAGAGTTTTCCCAGATAAGAACAAAAGGTTGGCCATATTAAGTCCTCAGTTCTCTGCGGGGGCTAAAGGGATCTCTGCCATTCCGGAGAAAGGTGAATGGTGTCAATTTTGTGTGATGTTTTTAGCTCAAAGCCTAAGGTGTGAAATCTGTCAGAGCAATAAAATCTTTGCTACATTCCATGGCTGCAAATGCCCAAATATGCTAAAATTGCCCGGGTAGCTGCTAATGGAAAACTTACATAGGGGAGAGGAGGAGAGAGAAAGAGCAAACCCCAGGCCTTGGGTTTGTAGATTGAGAACTTTTTTGTCTTTGAATGTACTTTTTCCACTCCAGTTGTAAAACAGCCGCTGAAAAACGTGTCTGAGCTACCTCTGTTCCTTTCTCCTGATAAACTTTTCTTCAGTAAAATATACCGATTTTTGTTCTTGATTTTCTGAAGGCAGTAGCCAAACTCTGAAGCAGTAAGAGATTCTGTATGACTTTTTTTTTATATAACAAAATGATCATCTCAAGTGCTTCTCTGCATCCAAGGGTTAGCATTTTATCTTTCAATGGCGGTAAAATAGAAGAAAGATAATGTCAACAAAGGTGTTGCTATTATCAAGTTTTCACATTTTTCACCCTTTCTGCTATTTTCGGTGGGACCCAGTGGTGCTCCCACGAGCCTGCTGCTAATGTTCTGAAGCAAAAAGGAAGGGTGGTTTGAAAGCTTTCTCTCTCTTTTTGACCTCAATGAATTCATTCCAACAGCTTTGCCCTCACAAAAGAACAATGGACAGCCAGTCAAGCCATTTTCTGGTATACTTTGAAAGGGTTCTGGTGAGGGGACACATCAAAGCAGTTTCTGACCTTTTTCTTTTTTTTCTTTAAGGGTACTCACGAGCATGACTCTGTTGCTTCACTGTCTCTTTACCCATCCAACCCAAGTTACAGAATAGGGTTCTGATTTATATCCCCAGAACCACCAAATGAATCAGCTGATCCTAGAACAGGCAGAGGTTCACTTAGTTTCCTAAGTGGTGGGGTCTTGGGCTTGAATTTAAGGGAGCCAGTTGCCAAGCTGTTCTTTGGTTAGCTATCCGACCATCCCTTTAGGCTATGCTCACCACTATCACTCGCCAGTCCCACGTCAGGTAAGTAGGAAGAAGACTACCGAAAATGGTCAAAGGCCTGGAAACGATGCCTTATGAGGAACGGCTAAGGGAGCTGGGCATGTTTAGCCTGGAGAAGAGGAGGTTAAGGGGTGATATGATAGCCATGTTCAAATATATAAAAGGATGTCATATAGAGGAGGGAGAAAGGTTGTTTTCTGCTGCTCCAGAGAAGCGGACACAGAGCAATGGATCCAAACTACAAGAAGATTCCACTGAAACATTAGGAAGAACTTCCTGACAGTAAGAGCTGTTCAACAGTGGAATTTGCTGCCAAGGAGTGTGGTGGAGTCTCCTTCTTTGGAGGTCTTTAAGCAGAGGCTTGACAACCATATGTCAGGAGTGCTCTGATGGTGTTTCCTGCTTGGCAGGGGGTTGGACTCGATGGCCCTTGTGGTCTATTCCAACTCTATGATTCTATGATTCTACCCTTGGAAGAATCATTTTGCTTCTCTTATTTTTCTCTGGACCATTCATTCCTCCAGCCACTTTCCCCTCTCCTCCATTTCTCTCTGATAAATCCTTTGTTCTTTCTGTGTTCCCAAGAAGCACCAGTTAGCTCATTCGGTTAGAGCAGGCTTCCTCAAACTCGCCCCTTCCAGATGTTTTGAGACTACAATTCCCATCATCCCTGACCACTGGTCCTGCTAGCTAGGGATCATGGGAGTTGTAGGCCAAAAACAACTGGGTTAGAGCATGGTGCACATCCAGGTTGCAGGTTTGATCCAGGAGCTTTCATTTCACCCCACTTATGGACTCCAGGTCCCTCTGAGTTTCCTATTGTGGAAGTCATTTGGTGTGATGTTCCCTCTGTCAGGACTCTCTGTTCACTCCAGATAGCACCCACCACCTTCTCCTCCTTTGCTTATTCTCACCCCTCACATTATGGAAGCCATGGTTTCAATTATAGCCTCACTGCCTTTCAGCCCTGCCTCCACAGTTGTGACTGCTGCCACTTCAGCTGTGGAGCAGTGCTCTACTCACGCTAGGATGGTAGTCCTCCACCCAACTGAGGCTGGCGGTGACAGCAGAGCTGGTTTCCGGGCTACTCCACTCCCACGGCAGCATGCCATGCGGTTGAGGATTCAGTGTGCATGTGCTGGTGATGCAAGTTTTCAAACAGACCACCACCACCATCATCACTAGCATTTGACAGGTAAACAATGGGCAGTGAGATGTTTAAGAGCAAAGCTACCCAAGCAAGCAGATGTGTTATGGATATGGTCTGAGAAGGCCCATACAGACTTCAATATATGACATACCACTTCTAGGGACGCAGGTGGCGCTGTGCTCTAAACCACTAAGCCTCCGTGACTTGCCAATCAGATGGTCGGTGGTTCGAATCCCCACGACGGGGTGAGTTCCCATTGCTCTGTCCCAGCTCCTGCCAACCTAGCACTTCGAAAGCACACCAGTGCAAGTAGATAAATCGGTACCGCTGTGGCGGGAAGGTAAACGGTGTTTCCATGCGCTCTGGTTTCCGTCACGGTGTTCTGTTGTGCTAGAAGCAGTTTAGTCATGCTGGCCACATGACCCGGAAAGCTGTCTGTGGACAACGCTGGCTCCCTCAGCCTGAAAGTGATATGAGTGCCGCAACCCCATAGTCACCTTTGACTGGACTTAACCATCCAGGGGTCCTTTATCTTTTCTTTTACACTATTTCTAGAGTTACACTGGAATATGCTCCACCAACATCTATGGTCATGGCCCACTCTTCACTAGTAGCGGCCCACTGATTGACACACTACCCCCTTGATTATCCATCATTTTTCTAACAATTGCATCAGGGAGAATGCAGAGCCACACTCAGTGGCCTCCACTTCGCTACTATCCACAGATTGGCATGGGAGGGAGAAGTCAAGAGCCTGCTGTTTATCTGTAGAATACTCAAGTCATTTAGACCCCAGCACTGTCCGAGTTCCAAGTTGCATGGGGAGCCTAAGTGTATACAGCGGGCTCCCTGTGTTATTTTTCAAACACAGGGGATGGGGGCAGCAATAATACAATGGTGTGGCTGTCAGCCACAGCCTCACTCGTCTTCCCCTCACATGATGCTAATCACATGAGCCAATACTGCCAGAATAAATAATAGTCACGTCCTTAAAAGTAATTGTATATATATCAACATCCATACTGTATTTTCTTTTCTTCCTCAAAAGTTAATAATGGAGGGTATGACCCATAAAATGGGTCTCATTTGTAAAAGGTGAAGGTAAAGGGACCCCTGACCATTAGGTCCAGTTGTGACCGACTCTGGGGTTGTGG